AAAGTTTAATTAAGTTAAAGTTATAAAGTTAAGTTATAATAGTTATAGTAAGTAGTAAGTAGTAAGATAGAGAGAGAGANNGAGAGAGAGAGAAATGGAGGTGCATGAGGGAAAAAGGGCAGGGTAAGATGGCAGAATTGTGGAATGAGGTAGAGATAGAGAAAGGATATGGTAGAGAGAGACGAGTTAAGTGGCCTTTTACACGAGAAGGGGAGTGTGAGGAGACAGATCTTATACTTTTTTTGACACGAGGGGAGTGTGAGGAGAGAGATTTTATACTTTTTAATACAATCTCCCATAAAAAGGCATTTTTGCCTGAAATACATTAAAACCTGAGGCGACAATACCTTGACATGAATTTTGGAATTTAGGGGCCATATGTTTGCACCAAAAAGCTTGGGGGTTTTCTGTAAGGGAAGTTGTGGGTTAGAGGTGAACTTTCCCATACTAAAATTGATGTGCTATCAGGCTGACAAGGCATTCTTAAAGTAAACGCTTAGGTACAGAAACCTCACACAAGGTAGAAATGTTTTGTCTAATAGTAATGCATCTATCACATTTCCAAGGAAAATCTTACAAAAAAAAAATCTCATTTGTCATTGGGATCATTCTCCACAAACAATTATTATTTGTGATTGATGATGCAGCAAAGGGCATTGATGGACAAGATTAAAGAGAGAATATAGGCGGAGATCCAATCGATTCAATAAAAGTGAAGCTCAAGAAGCTTCGATGGAGAAAAGCCTCTCTACAATGACAAAATCATCAATACTCTCTAACCTCCTCATAAAGTTTTAAACAGCCACTCTTCAAAGCCCTAAATTATAATAAAACACCATACTACTACTACTAATAATAATAATAATTACCAATTCCAAACAATATTAATTTTTTAAAAAAAAACCCTATAAATAGTAACCTGAGAGCTGTACCCATGGATAGAACCCGTGAATAGTAAAAAAAATAAAATAGAAATCAAGTCTTTGAGATGATGCCAACATGACATCTGCATCAATCCCCCCTGGTTAGAAGAAGTACCTATCCTCGAGTTCTGGTTGATATATTGCTTCTACTTGTTCAGATCTACCCTTTGGAACTCCACCTCCGAAATCCACGAATATTCTGCTTTAGATTTATCTTTCCAGTGCACAAAATACTGTGTATATGACCACGCCTTGTGGTAGTGGCTGGTATCAAGCACACAACCAGTTACCTCGACGTCAAATTTTGGCAACTGGTCTTGCCAATCAATCTCCATATCCTCATCGATCTCATAATCATATACATCGGTAATGTTAAATACTGGCGAGATATCACAGCTTGCTAGAAGCTCCACTTTGTATGCATTCTCTCTCAATCTCTTCAAAACACGACGATGCCTAATGCGCTTAAACTTTAGTTTATGGTACTGCCCACGAGGAAATCTCTCCTTGTGTAGGTAGACCCATAGTTGATGAAAACGCTTGGGAACCAAAATAGTTTTAAGAATCAGAATCACAACCGACTACAAAATTCATGTTTCTGGAATCAACGTTCATACCATGGGAATCACAGAGAGCGAGATTCCTATTTTTTGGGAATTGAGAATTGACTAAAATGGAAATGAGATTCCGCCACATATAGAATCAAGATTCTAACCTCCTTCAAATTGAGATTCCTACCTCCTTGAAATCGACCACCAAGGAATTGAGATAATGAAATCTTATGAATCGAGTTTCCAATGTATGTTGAATCGATATTCGCACTAGTTTTGAATTGAAATTCCAACATATTAGGAATCGAGTTCTGATGTATTTGGAACCAAGATTCATGCCAGTTTGGAATCGGGACTGATATTAGATTAGAATCGAGCTTGATCTCAACTAGCAATCGAGATTTGTAACTCTAGGAGTCCAATATGAAGCCCCATAGAAACAAGTTTCCTATGTCAATGGCATCTCACGCTTTATCGACTTGGAACCTATTTAAGCAATCAATATCAAATGTCTCTTATTATACTTGTAGAAGGGCTCCTCAGATTTGAAGTCAATATATTGATAATTGATTATGGTCAAGTAGTCTACTAGGGAAATTATCTACCAAAGATGCAAATGTTATCCCATGTATTTCTAAATTGTGATATACAGAAAAAATAGGATTTTCTCTATGCCATAGTATTTATTGTATGTGTTGTAGTTACCAATTATTTTTTTTTAAAAAAAGTAGTCCATCCTAGCACCATTAGAAATGTGATTTGAGCCAGTCCTAAAACTATTAGAAGGATTCACATTCAAATCGAATGAAGATTTCTACTCCAATTCCCTTGAAAAAGTGGTAACCATTCAGGAAATTGGACATTATGTAATTCGAAATCTTTTGTGTATTATTTTATTTTATTATTATTATTTTGCTTGCATTCACATTATGTCATTGTGGTAGGGGAGAAATTTAGACTAAACATTCAGCAAATTGAAAAAAAACACATGGGTAAAGAGAGATTATGATATCAAACAGGTATCTTATGGAGGTCGAAGCAAAGCTCCATGTTGATTGAATTGCAGTTCCCTGCTCCTACGAACAGATGTATTTTATGTTGTAGAGTCTAGACTCAAAGCCATAAAGAATCAAGATTCATCACATGTGGAATTAGGAATCAACAGACGTGGAATCAAGATTAAAGAAATGTTGAAATCAAGATTCGAAAAATTTGGGGCCAAGATTTCACAAATAATGAGATCAAGATTCCTAACTTATGGAATCTAAATTCCTAAGTTTCAAGAAACGGTTTCCATGAAG